AAATCTGAAGTAAAAGTTGGAGCCTGAATCACATCACACCTGAAATTTGTACTAATTTTACCCTTTGCAGTTGCTGGCCTCTTCGCTGAGCCTATCATATCTATGAATCATTCAATCCAATTGAGTTCAATTTTCTAACAAAAATTTCTCCTGCCTATTCATGATGGAACTTTCTTTTAAAAAAAATTTTTTTAATTAAAAAAAAAAACAACTTTTGGCCACGTCCCATGTCATGTGGGATCTTAGTTCCCTGGCCAGAAAGCAAACCCACAACCCCTTGCAGTGAAGTCTTAAGTACTGGACTGCCAGAGAAATCCCCAAGATGGAATCCTCTTTGTTTGAAGTTTTATACATTTGAAAACTGTATGCCCCCCCAAGTTGACTCTGCTGTCCTGGTCAGACAGTGGATTTCTTTTCTAGCCTCAAATGTTTCTGTCTCCCTGACCTCCTACCACAGAGGACTGCTCAGCTGTGTCTTAATACTCTCCATGAATCAACAGCCCAGATCAATTTTCATGGAAACACTCTGGCCTCAGGATTGCATATTCTCTGACACTGGTATAGGCTCTGAGGGAAGTAGCTATAAATTACTAAAAATGCTCTCCTGGAATACCGCAGAATTGAAAAAAAAGAAAATGTCCTTGCCTTATCAGCATATATTCTGGGTTTTAATATGATGTTTCTATAAGCAATTTGTATTTCATAAACAAATTACATTTTCTCCAAGTTTGAAGATTTTGGTTATTGAAATTAATTACTGCCTAATGAACACGAAACTAGCTTAAATACTGTGTCTCCAGCTAAATGGTAAATGAGACTTTCTTACTGCATCCAGTTGTAGGAATACTTATGGATGAATTAAAAATATGTGGATATGATATGAATAATTATTCATGAAACAGTTATTGATATTCCACTTTGTAGCACATGGGCTTCCCTGGTGACTCAGACCTGCAATGTGGGAGACCTGGGTTCGACCCCTGGATTGGGAAAATCCCCTGGAGAAGGGAATAGCTACCTACTCCAGTATTCTGGCCAGGAGAATTCCATGGACAGAGGAGCCTGGTGGGCTACAGTTCATGGGGTCACACCAGACTGCTGAGCACATTCTCTAGAAACAGAAGGCCCTCTCTGAGCCCCTCTTTCTTGGGACTTACCCTCTCCCCTTCTAGACAGTGGCTCCCACCCCTTAAGCCTCCAGATGACTGATGCTGTGAGGTACTCCCCTGTATATATACCCATCAAAATAAAGCTTAGGAGTACAACTGCCAGGTCATATCTTTGTCCTTGCTTACCCCCCAAATCCTCAAAGACTGCCTACAGCACATAAACCAGATTCAGTGAGAGGGAAGGATATAGGACATTTGAGAGGACAAAGAAGGGGATAAAGGCAATTACAGTCATGGGGACAGAATGTGCAAAGTTCTGAAATATAGTACATTCTGGATCTGACCTTTCAGGAATTCAATGTGACTGGAGTGTCAAAAGCAGAATGTGAGAAATGAGACCAGACAGGTAGACATTAGATAGAATGTGTCATGCCAAGAGATTTGTATTTATCCTGGCGGCAATGGAAGGCTGTTAAGAAATTTTAAGAGAGGAAGTAAGCAATCAGAATTGCATTTTAGAAAGACCCACCTGGCAGCAGTGTGGAGAATGGTTCTGAAGAAAATCAGTATCTAAAAATGTTTTCTCAAACAAAAAGCTAGTGAGAAATTATGAGGCCTTGGACAAAGGTGTGAAAGAGTTATGGAAACAATGAGTGTTTTGTGGAGGGTATTTTGGTCTTTTTTTCTTTTTTTTAAGAACAAGAATTAAGAGAATTTTTCTGACTGACAACATAATGAGTGAGAGGATGTGAAGAGAAAACTATAACTTCCTGGAATCTGGTTTGGGCGAATGGATACATTGTGATTATAAATTAAAGCTGAAATAGAAAACTTAGAAGAAATGGAAGGATTTTTTTTTTTTTTTTGGTTGACCAACATTAATTTCAACTTTGGACATGTTGAATTTGAGGTCTTTAGAGTCAGTCATCACTGTTAGAGAACTGAGTGGAGCTGGGGGTCCAAACTTCAAAAAAAAATCCTGGTTATAAGATGAAAATTTGGATCTAGCCAATGAACAGTGGTTGAAAACAGAAGTGATGAGACTGTCCAAAAATAGTGATGAAATACAAGATTAGAGGATGGATTCCAAGGTACAGCAATATATGATGAGCAACTAGAAAGAGAGGAATATACAGAGGAGAGGTATCCAGGAAAGAGACAGAAGAAATAAACAGAAAGAAAGAGAGAAATTAGAAGTTTTCACCACCTCCTTATAAGATCAACTATTTAATAATATTAAATTTAAATAACTTTTGTTCTTTACTTTGAAATATCAAAATAAGTGTGATCTCATTAGTATTTTTGAGCCACGCTCTTCAGGTTGTGAAGATTATGTGGTCCATGTACATCAAAATCAACTAAGTGTTGGGTTTAAAATTCAGCAGTATCTCCACAAATCTGAGTCAGTAATCTGGCATGTGGACCCAGTAATCTGATTTTACTATCTTCCTAGGTTTAGTCCTCAGTTCAGCTCAGTCACTCAGTAGTGTCTGACTTTTAGAGTTGGTTTAGTAGGTTTAGTACTACTGCCTTACGAAGAATTTGGGGTAAGAGCTCCATTGATGCGAAACTGAAAATGAGAATTTAAGATTCCAGGTTTGATATTAAAGATCTTTAATCCTCTTTCTACAGTGCTCAGATCAAGATTGCAAAAAATAGTTAACTATGCAAGAAAGATCAACCTAGTCATCAATTTCTGAATCCAATGAAAAGTTAATATACTCATGAAACAAAATAGGTTCCTTTCATGAACCATTAGGTATATAATTTTAATGATCAATGTAAGAGCCATAAAATGCCAATCTGTGTTATAATTAATTAACAAAATTAAATGAGAGAGGGAATTCCCTGGCTATCCAATAATTAGGACTCTCTGTTTTCACTGCCAAGGACAAGGTTCAATTCCTGGTCGGGGAACTAAGTTCCCACAAACCACATGACAGGGCCAAAAATAAAACAAAAAAAAAAAAAAAAAAAAAAAGGAAATAAGAGTTTCAGCTATTCCAGCCAAGTCAGTAAACTTAAAATGCACACTCATTTTTAAGCGAACAGGAACCTTTAAAATGTATTGCAAACTGAAGATTAATGAATAAATGAGAAGAATGACCAGCTCCTGTAATAGAAATAATTACACAAAAAGCTTCGTAAGAACAGAACAGCTGTCAGTCTTGTCACAGCAGGCCAATGCTCAGCAGAATGCCTAACATATAAATTACTCAATAAATGTAATTTTTATAAATGGGCTTGAGAGTCAAACAGAAATATGTTCAAATACACATCTATCGCACACCACTCCTTTGACTTTGAAAAATAATTGCAGCCTCTTTGTCAGGGTTCTCTAGAGAAACAAAAGTAATAGAATATAGTCAAGTATATAGAAAGAGATTTATTATGAAGAATTGACTCAGCAATTATGAAATCTGAGAAACCCCTCAATCTGCCATCTGCAAGCCAGTTCAAACTCACAGGCCCGAGAACTAGGGGAGCCAATGGTGAAAGTCCCAGTCTGAGTCTGAAGGTTCAAAAGCAGGAGCACTAACTTCCAAGGGCAAAAGCTGGATGTCCCAGTTCAAAGAGAGAACAAATCTGCTTTCTGCTGTTTCTGTTCTATTTAGTCCCTCAACAGGTTGTATGATCCCCACCTGCATTGGTGAGAGCCATCTTCTTTGTTGAATATCAATTCAAATGTTTATCTTTTCAGGAGACACCCTTACAGACGCAACCACAAATCATGTTTTACCAGCTATTTGGACATCTCTTAGCCCAGTCAAATTAAGACATGAATGTTAACCATCACATCCTCTCAACTAATTTCCCTGTAAGCCTTCTTCTGGCAGTACATGGTACAGTGTATGAAAACTGACTCACACAGCATAAGCAGTCAAAATATGCAGAGATAAATTGACCTTGAGGCTATCCAAGCTCAAGTCAGGGCCTCTTACTTGCACAGGCCCCTTCCAAGGCTTGCATGGGGCTCTACCAATGGGGTAACATGAACTGGTATTTTTATAATATTTGCAAAAATAACATGTTTTTTATATTATTTTTAAAAGAAAGAGTCTCCAAATGAGCTTTAGGCCCTAGAAAAATTGGATTTATCAATGAATATATTATTATTATTATAAAAATAAATTATACACAACCTATAGAAAATTCTTAGCACACGGCTGGCACTCAATAAATGTATTATTTTCATACATTGTAATATAAATTGTTCCAGCAAGGTACACAGTGAAATGTATAAAAATAAAAAATGGAAGAACATGTAAGAACAAGTTTTCTAACAGAAAAGAAGATGAATTTATATACATTTTATCAGCAAAGGTAAAAAAATGAAATAAAACTGGGTACTTATTTCTCAATGTGCATGAACCTAAAGCAGATGAACTGCTAAGGAGAAACTCAACTGTTCCCAGTATGAAGTAAGATATTTAAGAATTATTTTTTTTAATTAAAATAAAACTGTAATGCAGTAGACAATTATGTTCACGGTAGCTATAGAGTAAAATCAGCAACTGGTATCAGATACATATTAAAGCCCTCATAAGAAAAATGTGATCACATTGCAGCTTTACTTTTCAGATTTTATAAATTTTTTGTAGAAGAATGTGGGATAAAAGGAAAACTTGTGTATTTATGAATGTAGGTATGGATGCATGGTTGAATAAAAAACTCTGATAGAGGTAATAGGAAAAACCAGTTAAGGACAGATATATGCATTGTGAAACAGGGTCACAATTGAATGGCAAATTTACAGCCAAAAAAGGAAAATTTATATGTGCAGTGACATTAGTGAAGAGGTAGTTAAAAACAGATACAAACATTTGGGACAAAGCAACTGACTCGGGAAGCCATTATACATAATGTTACATACAGGAGTCTCGAGCCTACCCTTTGCCTTCCCGCCTTCAGGCCGCCAGCTCCGGATACCGCCCAGCCCCTTCAGTCGCGACCTCACCCCCCTCACGCTGTCGCGGCCCGGCGCCATCTTGACTTCACGCACCTCGCATCCCTGCACCTTTTGTGACCTCATGCCCCTCACGCCAACGTGCCCCTCTGGCCCCCGCGACCACTCGCCCCTCACTCCTTGGCGACTCACCACCGCCAAGCTCCTCGCGATGTTGAGACCTCATGCCCCTCATGCCCCTCATGCCTCTCACACCGCTCAGGACACTTACGCTCCTTGTGCCACTCATGCCCACCTGCTGTCTAGTTCACCAGCCCCTTCCGACTGGCAGGAAGTAACGCGAGCAGGACTATTAAAAACGTTCGCTTCCGGGACGGCTCCAGAACTTGACCTGGCACCTCTGGGTCAGGCAGGAGGAGGCTCCAGTCTGGAGACCTTGTGGACACTGCCGGCTCTGGCCCCAGAAGATTGAGTAAAGTGGATACAAGTGGAACATGGCAGAGAAGACATGTGCTCTTAGAAATGTACGCTCAGACTTCTGATGTCCTAAGATTATCAATAGACAGAACAACTTGCAGATTACTAATTTTGCAAAAACAATGCAGCCATCTTCTTGTTGACTCCTGGGACATGACAGAAAGCTTCCGAAATGGCGACCTGGATACACTGGACACTACCTGAGATCAGCGTGTCCCACCTTGAGACCGACCCTCATCCATCTACTACCAGCTGAGCACGTGCCTTTCCTCGCCTCACCAGTGGGCATGGACCGTCTTCTCAACTCCTCAACTTCTTGATCCCTGTCTGTGACAGTGTGGCCTGAGGCAAGCTGACCGTATTTCCTGTTTTAGCGATGCAGTGTGCGTGTGGTGGGAAAATGCTAGACAAATTGAGATGTGTTTTCTCCCAGATGTCAGATTCCAGTTGCCTGAGGATACTTAGTAAGTTAGACAGGTTTCTGAAGGAAGTTTCAAAGCTCCCAGCAGTTGTCTTAGAAGGACCATCTGTTGGTTACACAGAGCACTCAGCCCAGACCTGTTTTCCACTGCAGAAAGAGTACGAAGTCTGCTTTTACACAGCAATGGCCGATCCTCCTCCTCCTCCTCGGGATTTGTGTGACCAACCCTCAGGCACAGGCTTACCTGTGCAGAGAAGGTCTGCCTCCCATGGAGGGTTCCTATTTCCGGTGTGAGATGGGAGCGCTCCTATTCCTGGTATGAAAGTGGTGTGGGTTTCTGCTTCCCATGCCTACAGGGCCACAACCTGTGGTTCTGGCACCACTGCTTTTGGCGTGGCTGAGCAGGTGACACGGCATGCTTAACTCTTTGAGTTTTCAGAAAGATTTTAAGTTCTTTTTCTCCCAGCCAACTTTCTTCATGCTTATAGAGTTTAAATAGTACAAAGCTGCATGAAATGAATGAGTTAACCTTTTGCCTCTCTAAAGCTAGGGGAATATTGTATTTTACAGTTGTCACATGGATGTCCTTACTTTTCAAAACAGTATTTTAAATAACATTTGGGTGGAGGTCAGTGTCCGATTTTTCTGTGGTGTTTATAAATCATGTACTAAGTTCAGCGTTGCTCATTTTTCCTTCCTTTCTCAGTTTATTTCCTGAGTTTTAAAAATGCTGTACTTTTATTTCCAAACAGTTGCTAGAGCCTTGTTTTAAAAACCTTTCCATCTAGACTTAGTTGGTTTGCTGAAAGGTAGAAAAAAGAAGTCATAATTCAGGATCTAAGTTCTTAGCCTTGGTCCTCCTGCTGGACTTTTAAGTATTAGAAGGCTTCAAGAAGCAAAAGTTTTTCACTTTTTTATTTTTCCTAGTTAACCTTCTTAAAACTCAACCAAGAGAAATTAAATACGTAAGTCCATATTAGGGATTAGTTAAAAACAAAAACAAAACTGCAATCAAATGTTTACTTCCTACATTTCAGATACCTTGGAGATTTTTTTTTTATTAGATAGCTTTTCAGTTAACCATATAAATTTCATTAAACTGAACATCCTATCATGGGTATTTTGTTGTAAATTCCAATTTTTTTTTTTGGTTGAGAAGTCAAAATTATTTTAAAAACTTAAACTAGTAAAGGAAAAAAGAAGGAACACCTAGTAGTTTCTTCTCTATTTTATTGGCTAGAGAGAATTTATAGATTTTCAAATAATTACTTTTTCCTTAAAGTACATTTCAGGAAAAATCAAGTGTATCAGGATGCATAATTTTGATGGTGGTATCATAATTGTATCAGTTCTGAATTTTGAAGAGTATATGTATTATGTATGGCAGATGTGTACTGGCAAGGCCTTTTAACAGTATGAGAGTGTGTGTGTGTACCTTGTTTTCAAGATTAGAACTATGTGCAATGCTTTAGTGCTTTGACGAAGATAACCTTGAATTTTGAGACTGATTGAGTAAAAAAGTTTCCATCTAATGAAAAGATGTATAATTGGTTTAGTTGTAATTTCTTTGAAGGTTGTCCACTGTATCTGTACTGATATTTTGAGTGAATGCTTCTCTGTGTTCACAACAGATGAATTTAGTGTGCATTTGACAAGCTTATATATTAATTTTCATTGTAGGTTTGATATGTATAATGTTGGTGTTTGAATGTTTACTTTGATTTTTCCAAAAGTTTTTGTTTAATATTTTATCTAAGTAAATATGTGATATAATTTCTTATTCTTCTAGTCATCAATGCATTCATTTGCCTTTATTATAGAAAAAAAAAGCCATACAATACTGTTTTCTTTAAAAAGTAAAATGAAAAAGGAATCCTTGGAATAAGCCATCATCATAGTTATAAAGCATGAAGCATGCTGATGGCTAAGAGGCCCTGACATAGAAGCTTAGCAACTTAAGGAATAAGAGGGCATCCCACAAACAAATAATAGCATAATTTTATACTTTTCCATGGCATCTTTTTTGTCCTAGAAAAGCTTGATTAAAAATTAATGTTTTCTCAGAATTCCCTGGTGGTCCAGTGGTTAGGACTGCGTGCTTTAACCGCTTGGGGCCCAGATTCATTCCCTGGTCTGGGAACTGAGGTTCCCAAAAGCCAAAAAAACTAACTTTTTAATGTACAGTATCTAAAATATGAATCCCCTAGATCAGAGATAAGCAGACTTTTTCCTAAAAGGTCAGCGAGTAACAATTTTGGGCTTTGTAGGCCCTACTGTCTCTGTCACAGCTATTCCATAGTAGCAGAAAAGCAGCCATAAAAACTGCATAAATGAATGGAGATGGCTATGAGCTAAGGAAAATTGTTTACAGACACTGGAATTTAAATTTCTTACATTGTCACAAAACATTATTATTTTTTCAATGATTTAAAAATGTAAAACCATTTTTAAATGCAAAAAAATGTAAAACCATTTTTAAATAGTGAACTGTACAAAAAAGTGGCAAGCTGGATTTTACCACTGGGATATAGTTTGCCAAACCCTGGCCTACATGTTTTTCAATAGGATTCCTCCCCTGCCCCCCAGTAGTATAATACTTTGGTTAGACATAATTTATGATGAACATCAAAATGGATGGCTAGGAATAAATTTCTCCTAAATTAAGTCTAAAATGACATTTTATCATTCTAAAGAAATGACATTTTATAATTTTTCTATAATTTCTTAAGAAAATAGTTTTTAGTAATTTTTAATAACATGGAGGAAATTTGTCACATTTTCCATTGGAATTTTTGGAAATAAGCATAAAGATAGCTTATGTGTAAATAAGTTTTTGCCTTCTTTCAAATTCCCTTGAAAAAAAATTTAGTTCTCATTTCAATCTGTATGTCTGATATAAATGCCTGATGATTCTGAGAATATTGATTGAGAGTAATTTAACTTTTTAAAACTTCTTAATTTTATACGTAACAGTATCTCATTAATATATAAACATTTATAAAAGTTTGAAAGTAAAAATCATGTGGCCTGAGCTTTGCCATTCACCTTTCTGTATGAAAAGGACATTCAATATTTTATTTTTCAGTTCTTCAATCTATATAGTTTGAAGAGTAGAGTTTGTGTGCTCTACTATTTAATTTTTTCTATTTAATTTTTTCAATTGAAATTTTTTATTGAAATAGAGTTGACTTACAGTGTTGTGTTCATTTCAGGCATACAGCAGAGTGATTTAGTTTTATATATATATATTTTTTTCAGATTCTTTTCAATTATAGGTTATTACAAGATATTGAGTATGGTTCCCTGTGTTATACAGTAGGTCCTTGTTGGTTATCTATTTTACATGTATATTTTAGTCCCAAACTTTTAAGTGATCCCTCCCCCCATATTTGAAAATGTTAATTTGAATTATATTCTTTGCAGTAAGCTAATTTAAATGATCCCCCCACCTAAAAGTTTAAGTTTATTCAAAATAAAATGTATTTGCACATATTTCTTAATTTTAAACCTTATTATCCCTTCAAATTTATTTTTTTATGCCTATGCACTGATGCTCCCCTTTTCAGTGGTTAGGCCCACACCAGCACAAACAAACTAAATGCACACAAACTCCAGTTCACTTCAGTGATGTGAGAATCGGGTTATTAGGTAGGGGAGATCCTAAATTTCCAGGCACTGGTATTCCAACATTTCAGTATCTTCATATAACAAACAGGCAAACATACCCAGTTCTGAACATGTTTCCTTCCTTCTGCTACAGTAAAGCAGATCTCACTCCCTTCCCTGAAGGCTAATCCTTCCACCTATACTTAGCATCTAACTCTTCTGCCATCTCAAGGATCTTCAGTCAGTTCAGTTCAGTCACTCAGTTGTGTCTGATTCTTTGCGACCCCGTGGACTGCAGCATGCCAGGCTTCCCTGTCCATCACCAAATCCCAGAGCTTACTCAAACTCATGTCTATCGAGTCGGTGATGCCATCCAACTATCCCACCCTCTTTCATCACCTTCTCCCCCTTTCAATCTTTCCCAGAACCAGGGTCTTTTCAGATGCGTCAGTTCTTAGCATCAGGTGGCCAAAGTATTGGAGTTTCAGCTTCAGCATCAGTCCTTCCAATGAATATTCAGGACTGATTTCCTTTANAGCATCAATTCTTCGGCACTCAGCTTTCTTTATAGTCCAACTCTCACATCCATACATAACTAGTGGAAAAAATAGAGCATTGACCAGATGGACCTTTGTTGGTCAAGTAATGTCTCTGCTTTTTAATATGCTGTCTAGGTTGGTCATAGCTTTTCTTCCAAGGAGCAAGCATCTTTACCTTAGAGCTCATCTCATCACTTTTCTACATGTTCACACTCAAAATTTCAATGGGTTCCCTCTAAGCAGAGGTCATATTTTACTTGTTGTTGTTTTGGACCTTGATTAGGGCAAAATCAGATTCATTATAGTCCTGTTTCATGACACACTGTCATCATTAGTCCATTTATGTACCTATTTTACTTAGTTAGCTATTTACCAAGTTATTGTAGATAATGTTACATGCTTCTAAACCCTCTAACCAAAACACAACGCCAAGATCTTGACCTACATCTAGATATTTAGTTTTCTTATGTGATGTACCATCATTCTGAATTTTATGTTTGTCATTTCATTGTTTTCCCAAATAAATAGTCTGATCATATATATACATACATATGTGTGTGTGTGTGTGTGTGTGTGTGTGTATGTATGTATGTATGTTATGTTTTAACTTTATAAAAAGGGTATCACTTTTTATTCAGTCCTTTTGGACTCTATCTGCTGACTATAGTGGCACTAAAATTTTCTATATTTCACTGTAGCTTATTCATATTGACTATAATATTCCTTTGTGGGAATGTGGCATAGTTTATTCTTCTGTTTTTCTATTTAAAAGAAATGAGTTATTTTCGCTATTGTGAAAGCAGTGTTTCTATGAATATTCTTACATGCATCTATTAATATTCAAGAGTTTCTCTTATTTATGTATCTAGATGTTGAATAGCTAAATCATAGCATATATGAGTATTTGGTTTCAGGAGGAAATGTTAAAATGTTTTAATAGTGGATGCATAGTGGCTTCAAACATTTATTTACTTTATTACTAACAATGTATAGTGGGTTCTGTGGACCCAGATCTCTCTTATACCTTGTTTGAACAGAATTTCTCATTTTGCTGGTAGAATCATTATAAAATGCTATTTAATTGTGGCTTTGATTTGCATTTTCCTGAAGACCAATAATGTTGAACTTCTATCTATTCCTTTGCCAGTTTTTCTTTTGGGCTATTTGTGCGCATATATTTTTCTTGATACTGATCTAATGTACATATTGTAAATATCTTTTTCCAGTTTGTAAGTTAGGTTTAAAATTTCTTTAATTTAAAAATTAATCTTTGATGAATAAATGTGATTAATCTTAGTATTTTAAGTTTAGTAATTTCTTTTATATAAAATTGTTTTCATGCATTGTTTAAGACACCACACATATATTGAACTCTAAAAATATTCACTTGTAACTTTTTTCAGTGTTCAAATATTTTTTTTTAGATTTAGTCCTAAAGCCTATAACTCCTAAAATATGGAGTTTATTGTTTTAAAATGATGTGAGGAAGGAATCCAACATTCATATTTTTCCATATAAATTATTTTTCCAAATCAGTTTATTGAACTATCTTGTTGTTCCTACTCATTTATCATATCACCTCTGACCCATGTCTAATATCTGTACTTATATGGCTCGGTCAATTTCTGATTGGTTAACTACTTAATTTGCTTCTTGTACACAAAAACTGCATTGTCATATTTGCCATTTCATGAAGAATCATAGTAACTGCTCTGCCTCTACTTTTATTCACATATGCTTCCTTGCATGTGTATGTGCACGCACACACACATGCACAACACACACACAATTCTTGGACATTTTTTTTTTGTATACATATATCCTCCCGTGCCCCTCATCCATTTTCTAGTTCCTCAGGGTAAATCTTGCAAGGAGGAAACGGCAGGCTAACAAATTCTGCACCTTGGTCAGGGCCCACTGGCTCAACAGACTTCTCAACTCAGTGTAAAAACTGACCAATGATTAAACTCCCTGCATCCCTCCATCTATGGCTTGCTTCCCTCAACCCTTTTACAGTCGCTCTTTACAAGAGGTTCTATATTACTTGTCTGTATTTTTTCCATACCTCTTATTCACCTTTTAACCCTTCTAAATTGGTTTTTAGTGTGTTAGTCACTCAGCTGTGTCCAACTCTTTGCAACCCCATGGACTGTAGCCTGCCAGGCTCCTCTGTCCGAGAGATTTTCCAGGCGAGAATACTGGAGTGTGTTGCCATTTCCTTCTCCAGGGGATCTTCCCAACCCAGGAATCAAACCCAGGTCTCCTGCATTGCAGGCAGATTCTTTACTCTCTGGGCCATTGGGGAAGCCCCCCTCCCCCCCAAAAAAAGATATGTGTGTGTGTGTGTGTGTATATATAGGTCAATGCAACCTTTTCACCTGGCTACTTCAGTTTAAAGATGTTTCATGTTATAAAATCTACATAGCTAAGCAAACACCGTTCATTTTATAAGAGAGCTGGTTTTAAATTGAGGAGTCAGGGTAATGGCCAAAAGCAGTTTCTGACTTCTGGAAGTATAAAATCAGCTAGCTAATGGCATACTTTTCAGCTGATTAATTTTTTTTTCTTGCTGGGACATCTGGTATCATTTGAGAACTGTCCAATATGAATATCTGAAGCAGATGGGAACAGCATGGAAGATGTCACATTGGCTTGTGGTTGTAAGTAATATATGCTTCTTTTCGATAAGTCTTTATTTTGAACACTGTTATTATTTACTCTGAGTTTTAGCCTTAGGCAGTGGTCACCAATCACAGGTAAAAGTAAGCTTGGCAGCCCACAAGAGGAACTACCTTCCACTGAGCAGGATCTCCAGGACACTGCTTAATGTTGCTTTGATGTTCCCATGTTGTGTGATTAAACACTTGGTGAGATCTCAGGGTTGCCAGCTGGACATGATTTGACACCCTTATTAATCTTGAGAAATGTTCCACGTTCATCCAATTAGAAAAGTTTTGGAAAAGCCCTTGTGCCATGTGTCTCTGATGCTTCCAGCAAATAATGCCAGCTGGCAGTTTTCTTTTCATTAACTGAACTAAATCTTTCCATATAACTCCACAGTTTGTTGTAATTTCATGGGTAAAGGTGGTCACTGGAAAGTGAATATTACCTATTACAGCACTTAAAAAATATTGGAAATCTTTAGAGTTCTCCAGATTCCCTCAAGCCGCAATATGATAGCTCTTCTTCTGTGATTGCTTTCCCTATGAAGCCTGGCCATGAGTCTCAATTCCTTGCATCTAGCTTGCTGGTAGAAGTACTCGACTTTGCCAATGTCATGGTCATCAGCTGGGCTCTATGGCAAGGGAATAAAAGAGCTTCAGTATTTTAGCAGTGGCAGTATGTTTTTTTGCCTGAAATATATGAGAAGAATCTGACCTTGCACAGATAGGTGGAAGGAGAGGGAGTTTTTTATCCGTAAATGGCCTTAACAGATAATTGTGGTTGTTCTTCTTTAATTCTACATAAAAATTCTACAAGTGGCAGGCTTAAAGGTTTGCTGCAATAACAAATCTGAAATTATACTAATAAACTTTTCACAGTTATCTTAAAATCATTGATCTGTCTTGTGATGTGACTAGACCACTTACCTGTGAAAAATTTTGTAAGATTATATGCTGACCATTTGGAAAATAATGGCTTACTTGTGTTATGCAAATCTTCTAAATGTTGCCACATTTCCTTATTCAGCAACAAAAACTACATTTGTTAATATCACCAATAATCTCATCAGAAAATGTGATGATACTGCATCAATAGCATGTAGTCAATATTAAAGTATGACCCAAGGATCAAAATATAGTAAAATTAGTAATTTTTGCTGCTTCATCAAGGACATTCTTAACATGAAACCAGCTAACTAGTTCTTTTTGTTTGGTTGGTTTTTTTTTTTTTTTGTCCTTCAAAAGTATGGAGGAAAAAATACAATGGCTCCTCTAGGGCCACTGTCCTAACTTGTGCTTAGGCACCAGCAGTCTTCACCACCACTGTTTTTGAATGATCAGTGTAAATTCAACACCATAAAAAGAACAAATAATGCCTAGTTTTGATTTTAAAGACCCCCTGAAAACAATTCCTATTCTTTAGGAATTGTTATTCTACATAAAATTATTTAATAGAGGAAACAGAAGAAAAAAAAATTTATTGAGCAGTGACTATAAATTAGGGACTAAAGAACAGTAGTCAGAATTCATTTGGTTAAAAATGATTTAAAAATGAAAACAATTAGCCACACAAAAATAAAACTAGCAAATTAGCTGAGGCAAAAGAGACTATATTGGCTTACATAAACACGTTGAGGTCAGATGAGAGTATTTCCAGGAACTCATGAACATGAGTCTGAGCAGACTCTGGGAGATAGTGAAGGATGTAGAAACTTGGCATGCTGCAGTCCATGGGATCACAAAGAGTCAGACTTGACTTAGTGACTAAACAACAACAGGAACTCAAGAATAATTGGAAAGTGGAGGGACACACAGCATCTCCAACTCTCATCTTAGCCTATTTTCTGAGCAACTCTTGCCAGGAAATTGGTCCCTTGGCTCCTGGCAACTATGGCTTCATCTTTCTAACTCTCTCATCAGATGTGAAATGACTTTTTCCCATTTTTAGTTCTAGTATGAAAAATTACATCAAAGATCAATTCATTGTTGGGAGTGTGCCATCTGTGGCTAGGATGGCAGGGGAGAGGTTGAATAGAGAATGGCTTCAGTGATTGGTGGGGTACACTGGAATCATCTGTTTGGACTAAGGAGAGGAATAGTTCCCAAGAAATAATGTGGGGGTGGTTTTTGGTAGAAAGGAGATGTTCTTGGAAAATAAATAACTATTACAGAAGTAGATAGATAGATTTATAGATAGATAGATATGGATTATAAGCCAGAATGAGTCAGCTGAATTTTGAAAATGAGGAACCTAATTGTTAGAATTTTAAGTAACTCCCAGCATCACAAAACTGTTAACTAAGGGAGGTGCTTTTGAATACCTGCTTCCAAATAGCCTCACTTTGTTGTGCTGCTTCTCATTGAGGGTATGAATGATTCAAACTATCCATAAAGCTAAGAAAAATCTGACTTTTTTCAACAGATCTTACTTAACACTGCTTTCTTAGCCTGATATTAATATTTTAAATGTATTAATGATTTGATGGTAGAAATGGTGGATTCATATTAAATGCATATTGGATGTATGGTGTAAACGTTCTGTGATAGCTTATCCATAAAGAGTTGCTGTAATATTATGTACTGCCATACTAATAACCTAATAGTTATTGGATATTTACAATGTATTGAAGTCCAAATTTACCACTTTGGACATATAATGATGATTTAATCTTTTCAACAGCCCCACGAACCAGATTACTATATTACCATCCTTTCATAGATGACGTAACTGACTTCTGAGAGGTTATATACTGCCCCCTACCACCACATCACATACCCACGCACATTATTATTCTGGATAGGTTAGACTATTCTGAATGAACAAACAAACCAAAAAGCTTGGTAGCTTGAAAAAACACAGTTTTATTTCTTGTTCCCACTTCCAGTTTATTTTTGGTGAGGGTTGTGGTGCACTGTTTATTATACCCCTCAGGAACTCAATCTAAAGAAACAGCGAACACTTGAGAAGGAGAGAGAGCTTTCTGCAGCATTACACTGGTAATTCAGTGCTCCAGCACTTAAATATACAACTCCAGCTAGAATTAGTTACATGACCCCTCCCAGTCCCAATGGATACGGAAAAGAAAACCTAAGACATGTCTGGAAAAACAAACATCAAAAGTATTAAATATCTCTTCCCATTGGCCTGAAATTATGGTGTCTGGAATCTCAGTGTTCATTTCTTCAACTGAAGGCATTACTGTTCCTTAACTATAAATTGCCATGAGAGAATAACACACTCGTCTGTAATCTAATTAACAATTAGGTTTAAATTACCCGATAATCTATAATGTGCTTTGCATATGTATGAGAATTATGTTCATGATATGAAATGAAGACAGGTCTGGCATGCAGTGTCCCATGAGCCACATGCAAGACATTTGGGTTGGATAATAGAAATGTGGAATGAAAATATAAATGGCATGTGGATTGATATCAAGGACAGACTGTTTATTTTGCAACTTCATAGTAAAGCTTACAAGTACTTTAACCACTGAAGTTCTTTTGAGCAATCTTCCCAATTCTTCCCAGACTTAAGCCTTAAGGTAAATTCTCAGCAGATCTTTTGTGCTCCAGCATCTACCTGTCTGGTACCTCTAAGGACTTGGTCACCCTACTCCTGCTCCGAATAGTTGCTCCCTCTAAGGATTAGTGGCACATTTGATATTCTCTCTTTAGATCCTTTCATCTCTCTTTCCTACTAATCATCAAAAAGAAACAAAAGTGTGAGACTGGGAAAGACCCAAAGCATGAGAAATCTTAGTGAGCTCTTCAAAGGCATTATGTTTAATCTTCAGTTTATGGCCCTCTTCATGAGATAGGAATAGAAGTGCTTCAGCAATACCCATCCCAACCCAAACAGAAGAATATTTGAGAATGAAATTATATATCCCAAGCAAAGTGTTTTGTAAGTAAGAGTGGTCTCTAGAAAGCTGTTACACTCATACTTATAGATGATTGCAGCTGAAGGATACTGGTTAATATCAGCCAAGGGAAGAGGGATTTAGAGTAGAGTCCTGGAAGATGCTGAATGTTTCAGTTGTCTTCTCAGAGTAGAGTCAGGGGTAGTATCACTTTCCTGGCATCATTACGTGACAATTAGTACTGAGAGATGGCAACTAAGGAAGCTCACACAAGCCCTGGTGTCCAAGCTTTAATGGGGTTCCATTACTGAGGCATAGTTGACCACCAACATGGCCCATCTCAGAGTCCAGTTCCTCTAAAGATTCAGCTGTTACTGTGTGACTCGAAACCCCCACCCCAAATCACACTCTTAGACTATCTAGTTCATGAATGGCCAGCCCCTACCCTAAATCATATTGTTACATTCACGTCAGAAATGATGTGCTGAGGGTTTAGAGTTTGCCTCCCAAAGGCCAAGACCAAATACCAAAGCTGTCCGTGTGTGTGTGTGTGTGTGTGTGTGCGTTTAGTAGCTCAGTTGTGGCCGACTCTTTGTGGCCCTGTGAACTGTAGCCCACCAGGCTCCTCTGTCCATGGAATTTCCCAGACAAGAATACTTCAGTGGGGTGCCATTTCCTACTTCAGGGGATCTTCCTGACTAAAGGATCAAACCCACAGGGATTGAACCCACATCTCTTGGGTCTCCTGCATTGGCAAGCAGATTCTTTACCACTAGCACCTATACTGAGCGCGCGCGTGCGCACACACACACACACACACACACACAGAGCTATACCCACATCTTTCATGGTTGAATCACATTCATAAGTCATATTTTTTCCACTGAGGGAAAAATGGAGCAAAAAGGAAATGATATTTAACAACTTTTGTAAATATTCCTCTTTATCAGGAGAGTTTTGCAAAGAAATATCAACTATTCCAACTTCTTCAATAGTATATCACACAGTCAATCCTAGAAAGTAAACTCTAGGAAAAGCTCATAATTAAGTTTAAAATAAGTGGGGTTAGTTATGGACTTTTCACTGCTTTAAAGGAGCTGGCACACTGAACTTTATATGCTCTCCTTCCCATTGACCTAATTAACTCAGTCTCTGGAGGCCTTTGGCTCTGTTCTGAAGTTCAGGGCATGTCACTGCTGATGAATAAATTAATGGCATAAGGGAATCAAAGTCAAAATTAGCATAAAATTAGTATCCCACTGCTCACTATCTTGAGGGAAAACTAAATTTATTGTGAAATCTGTTGATGAAAGGATATACTCTGACAAAAATTTTGATTACATTTTTAGATACCTTTGGAATAAAATTGCTATTAACCCTGTGCTGTGTCAAAAGCANAAACTTAAAAGCTTTTGCACAACAAAGGAAACTATAAGCAAGGTGAAAAGACAGCCTTCAGAATGGGAGAAAATAATAGCCAATAAAGAAACAGACAAAGGATTAATCTCAAAAATATACAAGCAACTCCTGCAGCTCAATTCCAGAAAAATAAATGACCCAATCAAAAAATGGGCCATTTATGGTCTTTAAAAAATAATAGCTCAACACAAAGAAAAGTTTTAGCTGTGAAACTGTATTGATGACCTTTTAAATTGATTTTATTTATGTTGATCTGTCGAGACTGGATAAGGGGTGAGGGAGCGCTTACATTTTAATGCAGTTTCTAAGGATCCATCATAATGTAGGATCTTAAGGAATCAAAGGAAAGAATATACATCTAACTGGGCTTTAGATAGTAGAGATGCTAAGAACCAGTGTGGTAAAGAAATATGCACTCAGAAATAACCAACACATCAAAAATGTATCTTTTCTACAACTCTTTGTAATTTTTATTATTCTTTAGAGTGTGCTATACCAGAAAGATTTTCTAAGAGAAAAATAGTAGACTTGAGGAAAGGAATATTGTACAACAACAACAAAATTAAGTGTAATTATTAGAACCTGCTTCCTGTCTATTTGTCTCCCAGTTTCTATTTCTTATGTGTATTAATTTTTATAATTAAATAATGTTTATTCTCCAATTAATTTCTTTTGCATCTTATAAACAGATTATCTCTAAGTAAAGTAGGGCTAATTAATATTCAGGGAAGACCGTTTAAAGTACCTGGTAAACACATGCCTAGAAGAAAACGTGATCTAAGATCACTTAGATCTAAGATCTAAGATGTATTCAATAATCACAAAGAAGAGGAGGTTAGAAAGTTATAATTTAATATTATGACTCTGAACTTCATTGTGTATAAAACAAAAATCAGACAAGGTGTTTTCCTCTCTTGCACACATGCCTTTGGAGATGCTGCCAATTTTGATGTTTAGAATCCTTTTTATAATGTAAATAAAATAGTAAATCCTTTCAGAGAGTAGTGCCAAATAAAGGTTTGTGTCTTCTAAAGTGGTATCGTGCATTGTATCATATTAAATAACTCTTGTAGCAAGTCACATTTCTCTGTGTTGGTTGTCAGGAAATTCAGAGGTAATAACTTTCTGTTACAAGTCTTGTTATGGTAGTGTTTCTCCTGGGAGAACATGACCTTCAACAATATAAGGAAATTCAGACCCTCTGTTTTAAATCTGAAAATAGACCCTGGAGACAGGAAGAGAGAAATGACTAGATATTTCAGGTTTTATTCTGTCAACACTGCTGTTCCCTTGGTTCATCATGCCTGAGCCTAGGCAAGAAGGATATTTCCATTAAAAGATATTTCCACTAAACACTAGGAAATAGCAAAGAGAACATAAAGAATGGTTGTAAACAGTAGTAGCAGTTTATCTCACAACTTCCCTGCTTCCGATTCTCCTACAGTCTATTTGCTACCAATGTCTTTGAACTCCCCAGGGCCCATTCTGCATCCTCTTCCATGAGGGAAAAGGTGATCCCTCACCTATATTCCTCATTTCCTGGTGAAACTTTGGATGTTCTTGTATTTGTTTTAATACACTTTTTCCAATATTTTCTTAACTTTGTTCTTTTTTTTTTCTTTTTTTGGCTTCTCTGTGGGACTTGCAGCATCTCAGTTCCTGGACCAAGGGTTGAAGGCAGCCATATCAGTGAAAGCCCAGCCTAGAATCCTAACCACTAGACCACCAGGGAACTCCCTACTTTTTTTTCATCCTTTTACTCCAACCAAAGTATTGTTGATTAACGTTGTTGTGCTAATTTCTGCTGTATTGCAAAGTGACTGAGTTATACACAAATATACATTGTTTCCTTAATACTCTTTTTCACTGTGGTTTAATCCCAGAAGATTAGATATAGTTTCCTGTCTGTACAGTAAGGCATTGTTGTGAACCCATTCACAATGTGATAGTTTGTGTCTGAATTTGTGTGCTTTGTGCTTAGCCACTCAGTCGTATCTGACTCTTGTGACCCCGTAGACTGTACTGCCAGGCTCCTCTGTCCATGGGATTCTCCAGGCAAGAATACTGGAGTGGGTTGCCATTTCCTTCTCCAGGGGATCTTCCTGACCCAGGAATTGAGCCTGGGTCTCCTGCATTTCAGGCAGACTCTTTACTGACTGAGCTACGAGGAATAGCCAGTTTGCATCTACTAACTCCTAACTCCCAGTCCAGCCTTTTACCTCCATCCCTGCCCCTTGGCAACCACAAGTCTGATCTCTGTGAGCCTGTTTCTGTTTTATAGAAAAGTTCAATTGTGTCATATTTTAGATTCCACATAGAAGTGATATCACATAGCATTTGTCTTTCTCTTTCTGACTTGCTTCACTTAGTATGATAATCTCTATGTCCATCCCTGTTGCTTCAAATGGCATTACTTAATTATCTTTAGGCTGAGAAGTGTTCTATTCTACACATGTACTACATCTTCTTTATCCATTCATCTATGAGTGGGCATTTGCTTTGTTTTCATGTCTTGGCTATTGTGACTAGTGCTGCTATGAACATAGGGGTGCATGTGTCTTTTTGGATTATAGTTTTGTCCAGGTACATGCCCAGGAGTAGAATTGCTGGATCATATGAGAACTCTAGTTTCAGTTTTCTGAGGAAACTCCACATTGTTTTCTGTAGTGGCTACACCAGTTTACATTCCTGCCAACAATGTAGGAGGGTTACCTTTTCTCCACACCCTCTCCAGTATTCATTATTTGTAAGCTTTTTGATGATGGCCATTCTGACCAGTGTGAGGTGGTACCACTGTGAGATGGTCCTAGTTTTGATTTGCATTTATCATTTTATTAGTGATATCAAGCACTTTTTCATATGCCCTTCCACTACCTGTTTGTCTTCTTTGGATAAGTGTCTATTAAGGTCTTCTGCCCTTTTTTCAATTGGGTTGTTTGGTTTTTGTTATTGAGTTATATGAGCTGTTTGCATATTTTGGAGATAAAATTCTGTCAGTCTCATTATTTGCAAATATTTTCTCACATTCTATAGGTTGTCTTTTCATTTTTTATGGTTTCCTTTGTTGTACAAAAGCTTGTAAGTTTGATTATGCCCTATTTATTTATTTTTGTTTTTATTTCTATTGTCTTACAAGGCTTACCTAAGAAAACGTTGATACTATTTATGTCAGAGAATGTTTTGGAGCCTGGCTACTTTATAATGCTAATGGATGCTTCCTGAGGGATTGAAGCCTTAGTTTCCGATTGGACTGGTAAAGCATGTAAGTGCCTTATGATTACAAAATTCCACAGGCCTTAGGAGATTTGGTCTAAGAATGAATAGCTTACTGTCCATTTCCATATTAAAGAATGTAAAATTATTTTGCATCTCTGTGAAATAGCAACTCAAAGTAAGGGTAAACTTGATCTGTTTACAATTTCAATATTTCTTGCTTTACTTAATTATGATGCATATTTGCCCTCTCTTGTCTCCTGTTTTATTGTTTTAGGTCATATGTTTTGAAGCAGGCAAGAGGATATAGGACAAAACTCTCCAAAAAGTGAGTCATATACAAAAATCATTCTTCTAGGGGCAAAGCCTGAGATTCTGTGATGCAAGAGAGCAGAGAAAAAACTCTATATATTCACCATATTCCAATGTGTAACAGTGCTACTTCATTTAATAACCTTGTTGCATCCTATCTTCTCCCTGGAAAGAGATAGGTGACAGCATGACATTGCTCAATGGAAGATTTTTCTGGTTTTCATCATGTCAAACAATCACTACATAGTAAACTGAATGGTAAAATGACAAAGGGGATAAACAAGTCTATGAGCCCAGCTACAGAATGGGGACTTTGCATTTGCTGTGACACAAAACAACAACAATCTCTTGATGTTTATTATATCAAAACTTCATTATCTCTCTGGACTATTACTGTCCTAATGGACTCTATACATTTTGTTACAACTTCACTTACCTCCGTGATACATCAATAATGATGTATTGCTACGAATACTGCACTGTCCACAAGGATGGGGGAAATTGTGATTAATACATGCTGTGAAAGTGCTACACTAAATATGCCAGCAAATTTGGAAAACTCAGCAGTGGCCACAGAACTGGAAAAGGTCAGTTTCCATTCCAATCCCAAAGAAAGGCAATGCCAAAGAATGTTCAAACTACCACACAGTTG